TATAAATTATAAATATATTTAAATATTTTGATTTGTTGATTAAATCAAAGATTTTCTTTAATTTTTACAAATTAATTATAATTTTATATACTTATATACTAATTATCTGGCAGGGCGAGGCACACTTACTTTTATAAATAATTTAAAGACCTGATTGATTGTTAGCTTGATTGATGAGTTGTTGATTGTTTAAAATTGTTGAATAATATGCAAAATTATGCAATTAATTATATTTATGCTCCGATAATTATTGTTGAATACTTGTATTATTATAATTAATTAATTATAGATGCGTATAAATTAGAGTGTCGAGATTACGAGTATGTTGCAATTATGACAATTTGTCAGCGCTTGATAACATTTTAGTTAAATTCATTCACTTAATTCATCGATTAATATGTATTTAATATATGTTTGATTTATCTCCAAAAATATATATATATATGTATATATATATTTTATGTATGTATGTATATGTTGTACAGGTATATATTAATATTTTGCACATGAAACACAACGCAATAGTTGCCTTTTAATTAATATTATTTAAATTTGTTTCGCTTTTGTTGTTGTTTTTTTTTTTTTCTTAGTATTTTTTCACCTGAGCATTAAGTGTATTAATATTGTTGCTGTCAAACTCTGCTTGTACACCTTTATAAAAATATTTATACATACACATATGTGTGTGCATGTGTGTGTGTGTGTGTGTGAGTGTAGTTGTGTGATCATTCATTAACTTGCAATAGATTTTCGTGTTGCATTGCAGTTTCTTATTCCTTGGCTCTCTTGAGAAATAGTGTGAGAGAGAGCGAGAGAGAGCGAGAGATCGCGGCTTTTAGTTAATTATTTCACTTTGTATATTTATCATTTGCATGTCGCGTCGTTCTTGTGCATCCGTTTGATTTGCACTCTTGTGTTTAGCACTTATGTTTGACATTTGACCTGCGCACCTGGCGTAGAGTTCACGCATTTATTTAATAGGTACAACTTATTGAAACACATTGCTATTTGGCCAGATAATTTTACAGAAAATCTGCAGCTGTTTCGTTCAGCAGCATATTCCAATCAGAATCCGATTTAGTTTTGCAGCAACAGCTGGCCGCAGCTGTGGCCGCGGCGGGGCGGGGCGGGGCGGTGTGGTGCTGTACGGGCCACAAATTATGAAAAGTGAGTATTTAATTTTACGAAAAGTCAATACGTTGACAACGGCAACACTGGCAATGGGGCAATGGGGCTGACACTGACATTGAGGGCCTAGGCGTCGTTCAAGAGCAAGGTGAGAAGCAACAGCGGCAAGGACGAGGACGCTGGCGAGGACGAGGACGAGGACGAGCACGAGGACTTGAACTGGCAACCAACAGCTGTTCGGCTGGGCGGCTTACTGCGACCGTTGGGCGCTGCACAAGGACAAGGACACAGCGCGACGCGAACACGGACACGGACACGGACACGGGCACAGGCACTGGCACATAGACGCGGACATAGACAGAGACAGATCCAATGTTAAGAGCTTGAAACACTTTTGCATTTACAGCTATTTATTTGCTTGCATGCTTATTATTGGCATTCGCATTTGTTGCACTCTTTATCAGCTTTAAGTTGGGCAGCAATCAATTAATTATAATTTCAATTAGCGACGGCAATTTTTTGGTGTTTTTTAGCTTGATTGATGGACGCGCCTCGAATTCGCGACCGCTGCGTGCGCCGTACTTTCTCTGACTGAAACTGAAAATCGCAAATGCCTGCAAAGGCGCGAGAGAAGAACGGAACAGAACAGAACAGAGCAGAGCAGAACGAAAAAAAAAAACCTGCTGAGCGCAAGTGTGTGTGTGTGTGTGTGCGAGAGCTGTGTGAGTGGGCGAATAAGCTGCACAATGAAAGTGAAAACCGTTCGTTGTCGTTGTGTGTGGCTGCAAAGTGGGCACGTCTGTGAGAGCGAGGAAGCGTCGATAGCCGTACGTAATGAGCAGCAGAGAGCGGGAATGAGAGCGAATGCGAGAGACGCGCTCGTGTACTTGTGTGTGTGTGTGTGTGAGAGAGAGAGAGAGCGTGAGCTTGCGCTAGCAAATGAGGAAGCAAAGCTGTAAAGAATACAAAAAGCAAAACATAAATAAACAAAAATAAACGCGAATGAGCAGACGAACGTCAAAACACGCACAAACCAAGTTTCGTTTGGGGTTAACAATTTATGGAATGAGTAGGGTCCACAAATTTGACGGAGTTGCGCCATCAAACAGGGGGTTGCTTACCAAAATAAGAAAACAGGAATACTTTAATAATGAACAGGGGTAGTTCTCTGGGTTGTTGTGTATTTCAGGCGAAGTTTAAGTGGGCGGCAACTTCCGCCCAAAAAAACAACAATACAACAGTGCGTATGAGTAATGTGCGTAAGAAGCTACTACAACAGACAGACAGAGTTACGCATTGAGGTAGGTTCGTGTTTTGAAGACTTAAGGGAAGTTAATTTGGCCAAAATTGGCAAATTCTATTTCAGACATCATACGAAAGGCTTTCTATACTCGAGTTTTCAAAAGAGTGCAAATAAAACTCTTTTGTAAGGCTAGAAATTTAAACACTTTCTCAATTGGCATTGTCAACACCTTTCTGAGCACGTTTCGCATGTGATGCATTCGCATTAGTCAACTCATAAATCATACAAAAGCAACGAACAAGGGCGGCATGAAAAGCTTCCGTAAACGTCAGGTTGTCAAGAGTCACAATTTGACCCCAAACACAAAAAACCGCAACGACAAATGAGCAATAAAATAACACATGTGCATGTTAAAATTGTGTGTGTGTGCGCGTCAACAAGCGCCAGTGACAAAATTCAATAGCAAAGTAATCAGCGAGCAAAATGCAATCTCATAGATGCAGTCTCATTGCAGCCATGTGGAAACAGACATAACAGACACATGTATGTGTGTGTGTACATAACGCAAACACAACAAACGTATTGACCTTAACACTGAATGCTCATTGCTGACAACGCCGCTCCACATACATAGCGTGAAGAAGAACTTGAAATAGAAATGCAAAAGCCAGAGAGCGCGAGAGAGAGTGAGAGAGCTTGAGCGAGCGCAAAACTGCGAGAGAACGGGAGAGCAGCTGGCGCGTGTTTATTCAAGTTCACCAATACCAAGGCAAGGTTAACAGCGGCTGCCGCTGTGTGTGTCACTGGCGCACTTAACAGCGCGTCTACAGCGGCGCTACAGTTGCGCGAACAGCGCCCTGTTAAGAACCAGACGGAAAGAGATTCAATGCTTGATTGCCTGGTGATGGTTATGCGGGGGTAATTGGAGTTGCAGCCCGCCCCATTCGGGCCAGACACTGAAGGTATGGGGGCCTAATGAGGGTTGCAATGTCTGGAGTTCTGAAGTTGTGCAAAAGTGGGCGCCATTTGTGGGCTGGCCTGGAATGAGTCAGACATTTTGGGCAGACAATCTAAACGAGAAACGTCCTTTCGGAACGTCATCTTAATAACTCAATTGAAATGATCTTGATATTGAAAGGTCAGCTTGATTGACAGCGTTCCAGCTTGACTGATTGACTGTATCAAAAGCTCTGCTTATCCCTAAATATAATCACGCCGTTGGATTAGCACAGTTTAAAATTCTTCTATATATGTATCTGGTTTATATACTTTTACTTTGTTTTTTTTTTCTTCCTTTTTTGACAGCATACTTTTTTTGCAATCTCTTTTATTATGCATTCTTCGCAGAACATATTCCAATTGCAAGCACAGTTTTTAACGGTGCTCGTTTTGATCAGACGATCTCACACACACACACACACATATATATATAGACGCACGCGTAAAATACAGTTCGACCGATATGCAATTAAGTATAGATTTGCCACTCACAACAAATGAAAGTTAATCTCACATTTATATGCCGTCAGACTAGAGCAGACAACAACAATAACATTCGGAGCGCATCTGTAGTTAAGAATTGGCTTTGAGAACTTGAAGCTGCTCGCAGAGAACCAAATGCAGAACAAACGTGCGACATGACGTCGTTAACGCGACTGAAACGAGACAGAAATTTGCAAAAGTGAAAAATTCTACTTTCAATATGAAAACTGAACTGCGAAATTGTGCAGCAGCGTCGACTGCGGCGGCAGCAGCAGACACCATCAGCAACAACAACAACGGCCTCTGCTGGGCGGGAGTTGTGCACGGAAGAATGGCCAAAGCCCAAAGCAGAAAGCTGAAAGCGCACTGTGGGTGTGGGTAAGGTAGGTCGTGGTATGGGAATGTCGCTCAGCAAGAGAACGAGAACGAGAACGATAACGAGAGCGCCAGCATGAGCATGAGCGTGAGAGAGCGAGTGTGAGAGCGCATTGTTGCGACGCTGCCGTCGGCGAATGCAGAAAACAAAGCGTAGCCCAGAGAAGTCAATGTACAATACGTTGGGGGTGCAATGAACAAGGGACCGACGATGATGACGGCGACGAGGACGGAAGTGTTGGG